TGTCCTCAGCCGTCTCGGCGCCCAGACGCACCAGCTGAGAAGATGCACGCATTGCCCGGCGGTCTGCAAGCACTGCACACACGTCATGCAAGGGGGCATGCCAAAGCCACCGAGGCGCCGAAGGACTGCAGTAGCACAGCGCAGCGCCAGCAGTGCCAAATCGAAGCTGCCAGGCCCCTGTCATGTCAAAGTGCTGTAATGATAATGAATCCACATCCTGGCGACCGTTGTAGTGGCCTTCGACTTGACAGCAGCAGCAGCCCGAAGGAACGCTCAGACAGCCGCCGCGCAACGAAGGCTACCTGCCCGTAGACGTCCCCCTTTGCAGCAAGAGTGGCATCTTAATGAGAACTGTAGAGATGCCGTCAGGTGCCGTAACTCGACCGGCAGGTAGCCAGTTCAGGTCGCAAGGAAATTTCCTATGGCCTTCACTTGGTTTTTGTGAGGGCTCACGGCGTAAATCCCTCCCCACCGCGTGTATTGTAGTTGAACATGGTGTCGACTTGTTATCCCGCCTTGCTGATGAGGAGTGCCCTTCGCCAGGCCTCGACTGCATAGATCAGCCAGGCGCGATGCCTGCGCAGGACCTCCGTCAGAAGGATATGGCCGCGGTAATATGCGGCGTTTGGATTCAAGAGGGCAAGATCTTCTCATCACACACCAGCGTTACGGGCTGACAGACGCATCTGGGCCTGGTCTGAAAGACAGTTGACATTTAGACTTGCTTCGGTCATTACGTTAGCCCTTTGTTCGTCGTTAATGCCATGAAGCTACAACGGCATTCTTGGCGCGTTGGAGCTTTGCGGCTGCAGCCAACTGCTGCCATGCCCAAAGAAGGCTCAACATGGTCCTTCAAGTGAAAGCGTGGTTGACTTGAGGTGATGACGAAGCTTTGACGGTCCTTCTGGGCAAGATCCGTGGCTCGACGCGATAGCAGTCCTCCATGTGAGCTGCAAGTGCAGGGTTTTTGGCAGCACCGTAGCCTCAAGCTCATGCCGAGCTGCAACAGGCTCGGCCAAAGGCCTTGCTAAAGGCTCTGCAATAGGCTCCACAGGAATCCTTGGTGACCTGCACACAAACTGCAAACAGAGCTTTGAAAGGCTCTGCTTGAACAGATGCTTTGGCCTGATGAGCGGTTGAAACACGGCACCTAGGCTCTTAAAGCTGACATGGTGGCTTTGCGGATCAACGGTTGTGAGAGTCTTGAGTGTGCTGCTGCTTGACAGTGCCGGCACGCAGAGAGGTTCCATGGGGCCGACAAAGGAGCCCTGGCTCCGCTGGATGTTTGCGAAGACTAGGGCGCCATGCCAGGCTTGCCTCATAGTATTCAGACATGCGCTGACTTTGCAGGGAAAGCTGCTAGAACGCAAGTTTCGCAAAACGTCAGTCATGAAGCAGGCACTTTCACACGGACACACTTACCTGCTAGGATTCAGAACGATCCTGTCAATTCGGTGTGGTTTGGCGGGACATCAATGGAACAAACAAAGCCCGACACCTGCATGCACGTACTTGATGGCCTGAGGCTTCTTGCAATAAACCATAGCTGCAAATAGTTACTGTGGATGTTACAGTCTCCGGTCAGCAAGAGCTTCTAGAGAATCGAGGTGGCAAGGTTTAGCAGCTTAGCAACAGTACAGTGGCTTGAAGCACGTGAAATCCACAGAGTCGAAGCTGGAAACACCGAGGAGCGAGGAACATCCCTATCCGGACCCTTCCAAAACGATGCTGCTGCATCCGACGTAACTCTTCAGATGCTACTGTACACCAACCGTTCTGATGGCAAGACAAGCCAAATTTAACGCTCTGACATCATACTATTGGACTCAAGCCGCAAAATGGCATAGGCCAAGTCGAAGCTACGAAGTGTCAAGAGGGCATCCGCCGCTCTTTCCTGGAGACCTGGCACAAACTTAGCTGCATTTCCAGGATGGCATCCAACTGCAGCTTAACATGTTGAGGAACGGCCGACTTCCGCACAGCCTTTCCTCAGGGCTCGACATATGAACAGATGCGAAGACATGCGGAGACTGAGGCGGCAGCTGCCAGCCAGTCCAGGCCTCGAAGCTGAAGCGCAAACATAGCTGAAAGGCGTGAAAGGTCCGTTTAGAAAGGCCAACATGGTCAAGGAATGTCAAGGGGCAGTGGAGAGCGAAGCCTGTCTGTGCCGTGTCCGTAGGAGAGCCACAAGGCGCAAAGAAGCGGCACCTGGCACGGATCGGCCTGCCATGGCCTGCCCTAATCCTAATCAAGTCAGCTAAGCCTTGCCTTGCTGCGACGTGGCAGCCGCCTGCCATGCCCACCTAAAGCCACAGCGCACATCCACTCCGTGCCAAGCCATGGCATGCAGCTGCTCTTGCAGCACGGCTGCAAGTAAAGCTGCAATCGCCATGCACGGAAAGCTCTCCTCAGTTCCATTAAAAATACAATGCGCTCTTCCTCTTCCGAGCTCAGAGAATGCTTCACGTAGACAATCCTTCCCGCAAAGACTTGTTGTCCCGATTCATAAGCGCCCTTTACATGAATCCCACTGTCCGGGAAGGGCACGTCTACCGTTGAAACGTGCCAATTCGGGTTGAACTAGCCATGGACTAGGCATTAGGGGGGTTGAAAACTTAGCCAAGGTTAATCGAATGGGAACTATGCGTTTCGGAGACGGTCGTGGACCGGGGGCAATAAACACCCTCCTAACGATACCACCAACCAGGGGTTTGATTACAAGGGAGGGCGAAGGTCCTTCATAGGGGGAAAGCCATTAATCAGTAGAGGAAGGACGTGTGAGCCAAGAGTCACATCCAGGACAGGTTGCTGCCTTTGCCGTTGCATTGCCAAGCGCCAATGGCTAACCACCCGCTGCAGTAACGTGCTGGACCTGGCATTGCAGTTACGGGCATCAACTCTTCCCTTTGCCTTTGCTCTTTTTGGCCAAGCCGCGAGAAGAAGCAGAGCAATGTAGCACATCGCAGAGCGTTCTCCTCTTTGTCATGCACGCGATGAACAAGTCAGATGAGAACGGTGTTCACTCGAGAGTGCCTCACGCAAAGAAACATCCGCGGAAGCCTGGGGCGACTTGGCCGTCTTGGCCCTACAGAGACACCGCCAAGTGCGGAAGATATCCTCAGCTTGGTGCGGTGGTGGTCTGAAGCATCATGAAAACCCTTGCTGCTTGGCTAGGACCCGGGCAGATCGCAGCCTTCGCTGGCTTCTTCGGCAAAGCAAAAGCGCCACCTGAAACAACATCCACACAGAGGCTCCTTCCATGTGAATCTGCCGGCGGCCTCAGAACGAAGGAGCTCAGCCGCCGTGCACTGCACGGAGAGGTCGATGGCCAAGCTATCCTCGGCGTCTGTGAAGATTCAAGAGAAGCAAGCTTGAATTGGGAAGGAAACTGAGTGTTTGGAAAAAGGAAGACGAGTTTGAAGGTGCCGACGAGGCGGCGGCCTGGGCCTTCAGGGCCTTCAGCTCCGAGAGCTCGGAGTCGAAGCCGCGGCCCAAAGCCACCGCCAAAGGCCTCGCAGCGCTTCGCTGTAAGAGCTCTTACAGACGCCAAGGAAAACCTCGGAACGACAAGGGGATGTGGAAAGGGCTGTTTTGTCTTTCACAGAACGCTCTTGGTGCTTGTGGGACTCCCTCTCTAATTTGGTTCTTTTCCGACTCAGGCCTGGCAGGGCGCCTGCTGCGCACCAGGCCCATTGCTGGCATGGCAAGCATTCATCGGAGTGATCGGCGTGGGATGCCTTTGAGGCCCAAAGGTCGCAATCTACATTCCGGGCCGCCAACCTGGCTGCAGGCGGTCGCCCTCACTCAGCTCTTGGTCCGTGGTCGTACTCGTCCGTTTATCTGGGGGCTGGCGAGGTTGACAGATTTTGGGCTTCTGGGACATGAGATGAGGACCCAATTATCTGTGTTGCGGCTCTATAAACCCTAAACAGAAGCCCCGAAGCCCTAAGCCCGGTGCGGAAATACGGGCACACGGCTTGAGTTAGCGGACTGAAACTCACGGGGCTGAAATTTCCTACTGCCACTGAATCGAACAGAACAGGACAGCGCGCGCCGAGTAAGCCGAGCCGTGGCTGAAGAGTCTTGCGCGAAATCAAAATGGCCACCGTGTCCTCTCACAAGCACTACTCAGATCTTTCGGCGCCGCATGTTCAAGGTGAGTCGTCCCCAAGCGCGGCGCCCAAAAGAG